TATTTCTTTGACAGCACTCATCCAAAACTGCAATAATTTATTTATTTTTGCTGGCTGGTACAGGGATCTGAACCCATGACCTCGGTGTTACAAGGCTTTGCTCCAACCAACTGAGCTAACAGGCCAGCCCTATGCAATTATTTAATTTAGATGTCAGCTCTCCTGACCAAGCTGTAGGTTTTGTGGGGGCAAAGACTACTTCTGGCAAATGTATAATAATCTGTTCTCCAAAATTTTAAAAAAAAAAATCTGATTTGCATTGTCTACCAATTTCTGTGGTGTAAATACTCCCACCAAGGTCAATTTCAAGCTGCCCACTGACTTCACTGAACACAGAGTTGGGCAGAGATGCTCAGTACCATGTCACTGTCTCATATTTCCATTATACCAAATTATTATTTATCAACAACCCCAAGAGTAGAGCTCATGGTCAAACGTAGTAAAATAATTTGGAAGTGGTAAATTTTGAATATTTTCTTCTCTGCTTTTAGTAGACTGCATTCCATTGTAAGTTCAATTTTTAATTTTTTAATTAATTAAGTGTACAATGGCTGTGTTAACCGTCTCACGAAATTTCTGAAGATTTAGCAGTCAGCTCTCCCAAGCCAGTAGTGGCTGGCTGTAGCTTACCATGTTGATTACATATATCTTGCTTGTCATTATGGCTTCAATGCTTAGAAAGGGTCTGGTCACAAAGTAACTGCCTAATAAATACTTGACAGGCACCTTTAAATAGCCTGCGGAGTTTGTTCGGTGGGCACGATTGCATCACGTTCCAGATGAGGAAAGTGACAGAAGTGGGTAGGAGACAGAGCCAGCACTGGCCTCCAGGTTAGCGTCTGTGCTAGGGTCTTGGCAGCTTTTTTATACCAGTAGCTCTGAGGAGCTCCCCCCGACCACATGGAGAACACAAATGTTTCTTCAACACCCACATTTATTTATAGCAGTCAGTGATCCAACCAACATTTTCTGAGCACCTGTGTTAAGTGCTGAGAGTTTAGCAATGACCAAGGTGAGCAGAGGCTTTGACTTTGGGGAGCGAGCAGCCCTTCAAAGGAGAGGCATCACCCCCCATTTTACAAAGGCAGAAACTGAGGATCGCCTGACACTTGGCACAAGGCTACACAGTGAAGTTAGGGGAGGAAAAAGGTCTTAGAATCCAGGTTTGTCCTCGGTAGGACTGCTAGATTTAGCACAAACAAGATCCAAACAAAAGGACTGGCTGGTTACTCAGTTGGCTTGAGTGCAGCCTTGTAATTACCAGACAGCTGCCAAAAAGAAAAAAAAAAGAAACGACAAACCAGGACGCTCAGTTTAATTTGCATTTCATAGTATACGTATGGCCCAAATATTACTTACGCTAACAAATAATTTGTTTATCTGAAATGCAAATGTATCCAAATATTGCACAGAATGGGACATATTTATGCTGACATATGATTATGTCATATGACTTATGATTCACTGTCTATCTGAAATGCAAATTCAGTGGGCATCCTGTATTTTATCTGGCAACCCTAACCAAGAGTGGACGACCAACCTGGTTGGCTGGGACTGCGCAGTTTCCTGGGATGTGGGATTTTTAGCTGTAACACCCAGAAAATCCTGGGCCAGCCACTATGGTTGACCTCCCAGGGTTTACTTTGTCTTTTTTTTTTTTTTTTTTTTT